AGCCATTTTATTTTAATCTATTATTTTGTGTAAAGTTATAAAAAAAACGGACTACTATATCACATAGCTGCCATAGGAACGATAAAAAAAAATTAATTCAATTAAAAAGTATAACATTTTCAGTTTTCAACAGATTTTCATTAAATTTGCGATATAGCCATTTTATATCAGTCTTAAATTTTGTGTCAAATTTTTTGAAAATCGGACGACTATATCACATAGGTGCCATACAAACGATCGTTAGATGTGGAGCAAAAATGCAAATCTGTGAATGTAAAACTGAAAAAATAATATGTATAGGTGAATGAAATGAAAGCAGGTATTACTTCATTGTTTTTTAACATTAATATATATATTGTATGGATTCCTAGTCATCGAAGTTCTATCTGCAAGGGTATATAAACTTCGGCGTGCCGAAGTTAGCTTCCTTTCTTGTTTATTTTGTTTTTAATTGAAAGGTTAGGAAACGACTACTTGATATATTGGTTTGTAGTAAATAGTACATATCAGCGATGGATTTCTCTCTTTTCTGTCGAACGGGATAAAAAGTATCCTATGTCCGCCTCCTGGCTCTAAGCTACCTCCCTACCAATTTTCACCCAAATCGGTCAAGCTGATTTTCTTAATATTTGTTTTCGTAAGAACCTTGTACAGAGTATTAGAAAACTACAAAAAGAAATCCGCCAAATCGGTCAAGCCGTTTTCATGTTATGTGGCGACAACGAAAAACTGGTTTCATTTATATATATATATATAATGTTATAAAAATGGGACTACTATATCAAATAGCTGACATAGGAACGATCGAGAAATTAATACAATTAAAAATTATAACTTTTTCAGTCTCTAACAGATTTTGATAAAGTTTGAGATATAGCTCTTTTATGTTGTTATGTCCCTATCAAAGGACCTGCGTGGCATTTGGGCTGGCCCGGCAAGCTCTCTCTTCGGGCCACACACAACAATGAATGTCGTCGATACTCGACTTTTACACATCACTATACACCGCGCGGTTTATTTCGAATACGCGGAAAGAAAGACAACATCATCTATAGTTCCTCACACACACAAACACAACGGACCTGGCTTCTCCTGATGAACTGGAGGCCACATGCTCATCCCTTCCCTACCATGCAGCTGCTCGTATGAATCAAACTTTTTTGTTGCATCTGCCGCTGTACTGAGTCACACACAGTCCTACCCACTCATCATCCCGGTTCACTCCCCTTCCCCCGCATTAAAATCGCTACTCCATATTCATATGTTGACTCCTCATCTTATATTTATTTTACAAGCATTATCCCTTCCTTAAGTTATGTGCAGAAAACTTCGCCTTTAAATAGTTTCTTTTTTTTCAGATTTTTGGTCCTTCTTGATTTTCTTTAATTTACTCAATTCTCTCTAACACATTTCAGATCCTTCCTACCTCTCAAGGGGGGGGGGGGGTCGCAGGGGAAATATAGACGACAAAGCAAAATACAATCTACAACCAAAAATTAAACAACAAAAATCCAGCTTCACTGCTGCACCAACTGAAGTATTTGACAAGTAAAAAGAAACATAGATTTTTGGACATATACATAGGTATATATATAAGAAATAAATAAATAAATAAATATATGATAATCAAGGGATTAATGGGTAGTAAATATGCAATAAATATGAAATAATAAATAAATAAATAAAATACTAAAACCGATGAAAAATGTAACAAATATATAAATATATACAAAATTAAAAAAAAAAAAAACAAAAATTTTCCACAAACAAACAAGAAAAAAACACATTTAAATTTAACCTAAAACTAAAAAAAATTTTTGGCTGAAGCTACAAAGCTCCCGGTGTCGCCACTCAGAAGACGTGTCGGCCTTCCTCGACGATTCTCTTTTATTTAATGGCGGATCTTATTTACATATATTTAATAGCGGTGGTCGGCGCACATATGCCTGCAGAAGCTCATCGCCGAGATTCGGGGTTATGTTCGAGTTTCCAGGTCTTAATTCAGTGGCCACCGACCCTAACCAAGAAAAAATATGGGCCTGCACAATTTTGTGACCAGGCCAGAATTATCTCTGCGAGGACTGGGTCTGGTCGAGCTGGAAGTGAGAGCCATGATATTAGGGCTTCACCTGCGGACCACGACCACTCACCTTTTGAGTCTTCTCGAGCCGGCTTCCTGTCCTCGCCGATCCTCCGCACACGTCCAAGTGATTCCTTGGCATTTCAACAAATTTACTTCTCCACTCAACGTTCTTTCCTGTTGAGTGCAAGCGCACAGAATTATTTCCTTTTCTTTTAAAAATGCAATTCTTATTTCAAATTTTATGAACCGCCCGCTGGAGTAGCTTTGAACCAATTAAACGCTCTATCCCCTTGTGGATCGGTTCCTTTTTACCTTCTCTTTCTTTTCTGGTTGGAACCCGTTTTTTCAGTTTCGAACCATTCTAGGTCAAGAACCTTTTCCCCCATAAGGTGGTGCATGCTACCGATCTGCTTTTCGGGCAGGGTGGCATCCCTGAGCTTATCAAATAACACCCCTATGTGGATCTATCAATTGAATTCTATCGATATTTATTGGGTAAAACAACTGTGCCTAAAGTGGCCATAGCAATGTTAATCTAGAATTGCGGTTTTCATTTTATGAAAATCGGGAGGCTATATAAATTGACAATATCTCAAATTCGATTAAAATATATCGAAAGCTGAAAAAGTTATAAATTTTAATTGTATTAAACTTTTGATCGTTCCTATGACATCTATATTATATAGTAGTAGTTAGATTTTCTTAAAATTTAAAACATAAATCTAGAATAATACAAAACGGCTTTATCTTAAATTTTCTGAAAATTTGTTAATTGTTTATTATAATTTTTTTTCTAAAAAGTTTCCAATCATTCCTATGCTTAAGAAAATTTGGCTCGTTGGCCCAATGTGCTATGGTAGATATAATGGGCGAGTATTCGAGTATACATACATATGTATATGTATGTAGAAGACTAACTACTAACGTTCAGATAGCTTTTAATCTGAGAGACTAGTTTGCGTAGAATCGGACAAACGATCGAACAGACGGACATGGCTAGATCGACTAACTAAATTACTAATAATATCGGCTGTAAAAAAATAAAACTTGTTCAGTTTTCATCAGAGTTTCATCAAATTTAAGATATATTGTAGAATTTCATATTTAATGTTTTTAAAATCGGACGGCTACATAATTTACATACATACAAACAAACCATTCAAACTATCATAAGAAATAGAAATGTGCAAAACTGTGAATGTAAAACTGTAAATATTATATAATATGTGAATGAAATGAAATCAGGCATTACTTCATTGTTATATACAATACTATATTGTATTAATTCCTAGTGATCGAGTTTTAACTGCAAGGGTATAATAACTTTGGCGGTCATTTTTTTGATAATATTTTTGATTCGAAACGGGCCAGATTGGATGGATATTGGAAAAAAATTTACATTTTCCGGTATTCAGCATATTTTTTATACTTTGAGATCTGTCGGTTTTTATTTTTTTTTTTTGGATTTCGAATTTTATTTTATGAAAATCTAACTACTATGTACATTGTATAGCAGCCATAGAAAAAATTTTGAATTAATTTTTAAAGGGAAATGCTAAACTCGGCATGTTAAACATTAACTGGAAAACTGTAAATATTATTTCTATAGGTGATTGTTATAAAAGTAGACAGTGTCTACCCTGCAGTACCGCGTGTCATCAATAGGCCACTGTCATCAACATGTCATCAACGCGCCGACTGCGACTTCTACCGAATCGACCCTCTGCCGACTGCGACTTCTACTACGACGATCTGCCCACGATACAGTTACGGCGGTAGTCTAGTCGGCAGTCGTCGGCAGTACCATGGCCCGGCCGTTGAGAAATTTGTTGATGAAACATCGATAAATTGTTGATGAAACATAGATGTTTCATTGATGTGTCATCAACAAAACATCGATGAATTGATGATGAATTGTTGATGAATTTGTTGATGAATCATCTATTTATTGTTGATAAATTTTTATTGATGACAGCCTAGGACATGTCCATGTTAAATAAATCAACAGTTTGTATGGCCTGTCATCGATGAAAAATCAACAGCACCCCCTTGACTGTTGATGAAACGTTGATTTTTTGTTGATGACAGGTACTGCAGGGTAAATATAAATTTTGTATAGTAGTTGGCTTGCCCACTCTTGATGCTGAAAATGTTATTCTCTTTTTATACCCTTGCAGGGTATTATAATTTAAGTCAGAAGTTTGCAACGCAGTGAAGAAGGCACCTCCGACCATATAAAGTACATATATACAGTCTGTTAAGTAATTCTTTGCAAAACGAAAAATCCCTCACAATTTTGGGTTTAAACTAAATAACAAAACCAAAAACATAGCAATTCGTATGCTGTCAATTAATATTCTTTATCAGGATCAACAGCCGCGTCGATCTAGCCATGTCCGTCTGACCGTCTGTCCGTTTCTACGCAAACTAGTCTCTCAGTTTTGAAGCTATCTGAATGAAACTTTGCAGTTAGTCTCGTATATACTCTCACTCGTATATATGTCGGAACGGGCCGGATCGAACGACAATATCATATAGCTGCCATAGGAATAATCGGAGAATTAAAAAAAAAAATTTAATTTTCAGTTTTTAACAGAATTTGATCAAATTTAGATATTTTATATTATTTTACAATTTTGTGTAAAATCTTATAAAAATCGGACTACTATATCCTATAGCTCCCAAAGGAACGATCAAGAAATTAATACAATTAAAATTTATAACTTTTTCCGTTTTCAACAGAATTTAACCAAATTTGAGGTATAGCTATTTTATAGTAGTCTTAAAGTTTGTGTCAAATTTTATGAAAATCAGACGATTATACAGGGTGCGGCACGAAAACTTGCTGATTTTAGAAGGTTATAAAAAAAGTAGTTGACATTCCATTCCAAATTTTTTTATTCTTGTAACACACCTTCTGAAGTTTTTATTACACAGTTTTGAAGATTACATCGAATAAGTGATGGCCGCCGTTTTCAATGCACTGAGATACCCTATTTTCGAAGCTCAGCTGAACTCTCTCAAGCATATCGACGGGTATCTTTGCGATTGCTTGCCGAATGTTATTCTCCGATGAGCTGGATGGGATTTTGTCACATTTCCGCTCTCCCTGAATGTTTTCACCCACGAAACAATCGACTGCCGGCCAGGAACGCGACCTACAGGATGAATGTTGAGTTGAGTGGCAATTACGGAACGACCGTTGGAAAAGTAAGCCTCGCAGGCAAATGCGCGCTGCTCTTTCGTCCAATGCATGATGTCCACTGACTGCAGAGTAGACGAAACTTCAGGAAGTCGCCTAAAACATGAGACACTCCCCACCCTTACCCAACCACTCCCCGCCGCTTAGCGCCAAAAACAAATCAGCAAGTTTTCGTGCCGCACCCTGTATCATATAGGTGCTTTATAAACGACTGTTAGATGTAGAGAAAAAATGCAAATCTGTGAATGTAAAACTGTAAATAAAAATATGCATAGGTGAATTAAATAAAAGCAGGTTTTACTTTATTGTTTTTTAACTTAAATATATATAATTTATATTGTATATCGAAGTTCTATCTGCAAGGGTATAAAAACTTCGGCGTGCCGAAGTTAGCTTCCTTTCTTGTTATAATTAAATAATTTTCTGTTGATTATTTAAACAATTAAATAAATATATAGTTAGTGGATTTTTTCAAACTACGGACTAGATCTGGATTGATTCAAAAATAAACCTTTACTAGTTCTTTCCATATATCTGTTATTTTTAATACATCAGTTTTTAAAGCCACCAGTTAGTATATTTATTTTACTTTGAAGCCACAGGTGTAAGCATCAACAGAAAAGGCGTTCGTTAGAGAATATTTAAATTAACTTTAAGCTTGGCGGGATAAGAAAATGGTTCGGTATTACCGAATCGGTAATTATGTATATTTTTGTATATATACATATATACATATATATATATATTCAGTACGAATCAGAGCTCGCAAATAACTGTCGACCGTTTCTCGTTGTCTGCAAATAAGTGTCTTTTCCTGACACTTTACGAAAAAACTCAGAGAGCAACCGAAATAAGAGTGCTTAAATCAGCTCGCTCGCGCTCAGAGCGAAACCGATTTTTTTAATTCTGTTTTGTTCTGGTTGTTCCAAGACCGTTTTGTCGTGTTCAGTGAAGCAAAAAGTCTTTTGCATATGTATTGGTATACACTCACACGCATAGGCAAGCAAGTCGTTAAGCGTCTGTATTGCGATCGTGGAATGAGTGTGTGTGAGTAAATGCAAAGACCGTTTGCGTTGAGTTTTTCGGTCAATCGGTCTTTTGCTGACTCTTATTGTGCGAGCGTTTCTCGTTTCGCTCTTTAGGCAATGCTCATTGAAAGAGCGACACACAAAGAGCTCAACGAAAAACGTTCAACAGAAAACATAAAAGAATACAGCAAGAGTCTCTTGCTCAGAGCGAGAGCGAGAGAGTATGAACTTTTTCGGTTGTGCTCGCAACGAGAGCGCAAGAAAAAAATCGGTCGACAGTTATTTGCGACCTCTGGTACGAATATTTTTAAAAAATTTGTATACTTACTAAAAATTTTGCACCTTCGTTTTATGATTGGCGTCCGTTTAACGGAAAACAAATACTACAAAACCCGTGATCCAATATATTGCAAAAATGGCATGACAAATTTGTTTTATCTAAAAGTCTTTTTTTATAGTGAAGGAATAAAAATAAAAGGCCCACTGGCCTAGCATACAAATTTGTAACATTATATATTGTACTTATAGAACTTGAAGCGATTATCATACACGACCATACTTATTTAAGCTTACAGTCCGATTACATTACGGGATGAATAGACAAATATTAACTACAAAATTTGAATTTGAAATAATTTTAAAATAAAATAAAAATGTTATACAGCGAAATGTTGCGAAATCATCATGTTTTGTTTATTTAAACTTTAAAAATAAACAAGAAGAGATGTTAACTTCGGCACGCCGAACTTTGTATACCCTCGCAGATTGCAATTACATCATTAATAATTAAATTATATATATTGATGTTAAAAAAATTGATGTATCCCTGTTTTCATTATATTCACTGATATTTATTATATTTATAGCTTAACAAAAACAGTTTTACATTCACAGCATTTTAAACGATTGTTTTTATGGCCCGATTTTCATAAAATGAAAACCAAGTTCTGGAATAATTAAATTTTATTTTATTTTATGCAAGTCTTTCTCATCGTTTCTATGACGGACGGACGCACAGACGGATGTATAGTACGGACGGACAGACAGACGGGCTAGATCTTTTCGGCTGTTGATTCTGTTCAATAATATATGTATACACTTTATAGGGTTCGAAAAGTTTCCTTCAGTGCGTTGCAAACTTTTGACTAAAATTAGAATACCCTGAAAGTGTAAGATAACATCACATACTTATATTTAAAAGCTTTTTGAATTCCAGCATACATATTACTTATAACTACCCGTAAGCACAGGGTAGATTGGTTGCAGACAGTTTATTATATAAGTATAAATGCTATATACACATTATATATTACATTCTTCTTCTTCTGATAAAACAAATATAATAGAATATTTTAATTGTGGTATGTTGCTGCAATGTAACCAAATCATATTTTACAGTTAGTTTTTACTAGACCACAATGGGTCCATTCTTAATAGTTTAAATGCAAACACCAAGAATGTCCAAACTTTGTTTTTTTTTTTCAAACTAAATACAGTTTTATTAAGATTTATTTTTCACCTGCTTTTTCTTTTTGTTTACTATTTTTTTTTTACTGATCTGTCTTGGTTTTGTATATTGGCACACTAAAATCATACACGGTAGCTAATTGGTCAGACTTAGCATTCATATAAAAAGGTATGAATATATGTACATACATACATATATGAATAGATTCACATATTTGCGTAACAAACAGTGTGTCACGACATAAAAGAAAAAAAAATTGATTATCCAATTCATAGCTCAGTTGTCAGATATGTTTTTAATTTTAGAGGGGTTGAACATGTATCACATTAAAAAAATCTTGACCTAAACTTAATCTTCTGGAATCGCTACATAACTTTATTATATTACCAACATTTTTTGTTACCTATAAACCCACATATTAGTTTGTCAAACTAATATCTCAGACATAATCTAGGACGAATGATTTTAATGTGCCCAAAATATACTTCGATGTGTTAAAAAAATGTGTTTTTTTTAATATATTAAGTCATCTATCTAAAGTTTGAATACCCTTGCAGACTGCAATGTGATCATTGTTAATAAAATATAATTTATATATATTTTTGGCAAAAAAAAAAAAACACCGAAGTAATGTCTACTGTCATTACACTCATCTATGCATACGTAAATTTTATACTTACAGTTGTACACTTACAGAATTATATCACTGTTTTTTAATTCTTCTCTCCATTTAATGACCGTTTCTATGGCTACTATACATATAACAACCAATATGCTTAAAATTAAAACCAAGATTCTGAAATAAAAAGAACCTTTGGTATATATTCGATACAGAAACTTAACCCAAAATTCAAAAATAATACAAAATTCGTATTCTCAAATTAAATGAAAGAATTAAGGAAGTTACTCCTTTTAAGTTTGCAATTCGGTCAGTACTTATAAATACAATATTATAATACGTTTGCAGGGTATTATAATTTCAGCAAGTTTGCAAGAAGTCTTCTCCGACCATATAAAGTATATATATTTTTTATCAGCATCAACAGCCCATTTAATTAAGCCATGTCCGTCTGTCTGTCTGTCGTTCTGTCCGTATTTCCGTCTGCCCGTTTCAACGCAAACTAGTCTCTCCATTTTAAAGCTATCTAAATGAAATTTTAAAGTAAGGCTTCTGTATACTATGACGGGTCACAATCCCTACCTTTCTGTATAAAATGTAAATAGTATATTTAAGTTAGTTATAACCATAGGAATAAGTCTAGAATAAGCCCACGCACACACAACACCAGAGCCTTACATCACGGTAGAGCCACACACCATGACAGAGCCACACACCACGGCAGAGCCACGCATCATGGCAGAGCCATATACCGACAGGGACGCGCTCTTAAACGGCGGAGCCAAGGATCAGCAGAGCCAACACACGGGCAGAGACGCGAGCAGGGGAGAGCGGAATTGCACAGCCGCGCAGCCAGTGAAAAGATCGGTCGACATAATCGCGACCTCGAGCAACCCCTACATCATCGAGTGGAGCCGACGCCACAAGTGTCCACCGAGGACCAGGACAACCACCTCCGCCAAACGAGCAACGAATGGGTGAGCATTTCCATGAACCCCAGGCAGGCTATTAGTTAGGAATTAAACAAAAATAAGCCCCTATGCAATGGAAACACCCACCGCCGTTCTCCCTCTCCCCTCGTTCCCCTCTTCTCACCCATATCTGTTCCACTCCCGCCTGTGCGGCGCTGCTGCTGGAGAATTCCGGGTAAGGACTCGGGCAGCGGCCGCTGGAGCACTCTGGGCCGTCTGTCCAGTCTTAGAGGGGAATCCCTCCGCTTGATAATTCTATACAGCCCATACCGGTGCCAGCCAGATATCCATCCTCCAAGAGGAAGATTTAACTAATCAAGCATCGCCATTTGATCAGAGTTACAAAACCAACGTCGACACTGGCAGAGAAAACTTTCTGCCGCAGTGGCCACGCCATCAATACGCACTCCGACGGCCTCAGCTTGCGGCCACGCTGGCCGAGGATGGATATAAAGATTTACCGTCCGCCCCACACTTGTTAAAACCCTCTCGCCGTGAACACTTGATATATTATCGTTTGAACTAAAGCGAACAAAATCGAAATTACCGCGATCCGAGCTATGAAATAAATGCTGGAAATACAGCTCGCCAGGACCTGCCACGTCGGCCCCGGTGGTGCCACCTACGCTTCTGCTACCACTTAGAATTTCACCCGCCGTAGGGCGACGCTTGACTCCGAAGGCGGAAGAGCATCCAAGCGCCGCGACCCACCACGCTGACTCCAACATGGGAGCCACGCTGCTGAACCGAATGACCAAGTGGGGCCTATCGTTCGATGGGACGACAGACACACTGGGTTTAATCGAGAACATCGAGGAGCGCGACGATACCTGCCGGATCGATCGGAAGTATCTAGCCCAATCGCTGGTAGTGCTGTTGACCAGCCACGCCGAAAGCTGGTTCCGGACCAGTGGACTTCGGGAAGGCGGCTGGGTTGAAGTCCGTCGCGAGTTCCTGGATTTCTTCTTGCCACCGCTCTACAATCAGCGGTTGGAGGACAAGATCAGGACCCATTTCCAGAAGCCCAACGAATCATTTAAAGAATATTAAGTTGACCTTCGCTTGCTGATGCGATGAGCGGATCTACGACAACATGATCCCCGAATGCCAGTTCTTCACTAGGAGGATTTCCGCACGGTCTGACCGGGAATCACCCTTGGAACCCAGCCAACCAACGCAACCAGTAAGAGGTACCCTACTCTAACACCAGAAATGCATTCGAGCCACCATTAATATGGAGGAACGAGAACCCGTAGCCACCCTCGACATCGAAGCTTCCCATAGCTTCACAAGCGATAAGGGAACTAGATAACAAGAGGAACATGCATGACATGAGGACCAAAGTCAAGCTATCCTACAGAACATGCAGAGAACTCCCACGGGTCCTAGAGGGCAATTTACACCTAGGGAACCAGCGGAACCCACTATTCTTCTGGTGATGTCAGACGTCTTGGACGACGTACTTCTCGAAATGGACTTCCATTGCGGGATCGGAGAAACCATGCAATGCGGCGGATAGACTCTCGACCTGCTACCGGCGAACAAACCAAGCAAAGTTCCGGCTAGGACGGGAAGCTCATCCGAGACCACATAGCTTTCACCCCTAAGAACAAGCCTAGAGGGCCTCGCACTCACCCACGAGACCAACCACCGGAACCACGCTCTACACACCGAGGACAGCCGCATTCTACGCCTCGAACCCAACCTCGAAGCACAGTTCCCGAGACCAGCTAGGATACCACCAGCACGAGGGCGGCCAAAGAGGAGATAGAGTGTCCCCTCGGAGGCCGGCGGCCAAGCCGGACTTAGGCCCGGCCACGGCGAGTACCCAGCCGCCCATTTGGCGCCATGTTTTGCCCGTGTCCCGTGCCACAGCTGCGCAACGGAACCCTTTCCGTACCTCCAGAAAACGTGTCCGCTTCCAGGACCACGTCGAGAAAAAAAGGACGGAGCAAAACTCGCCTCGCGCGGGAAATTAACCATTCCACAGAGGATCGCGATTCATCCGATCAAGAGGAGTGTGAGCCTCATAGCTACCCAGAGCCCTGGGTAATGAAATTCTGGAAGCAGGACTTGGCGATGTTTTTTAATTATTAATGGATGTTGTCATTACAATCAAATGGCCCGTATAGCACCAGATACGTGCCTGTTTGGATTAGGTGTTAGTAGAAAATATAGAACAGAATACGAGGAAATTGACTACCAGAGTGCTGCCAGGTTATTTGCTTGCATGTTTACTAAGTGTGTTAGTATGAAAGATTTTAATTTGGAAGGACTATCTACGTTAGAGATTAGTGTGTACAAATCATTATAATTTGCACACAATCCTCTAAAAGGTTCATGCAGTTCAAAGAAGGTTATACAGTGGCGCAAAAGGTATATAGGATCTAGTACTTCACCATGGTACGTGGAAATTGAGCTAAATCAACAAGTCAGTACTTTCCATATCACTATGGATAATTTTATATATTATATTATTATTTATATTATTATATTATTATTATATTATTATATTATTATATTATTATATTATTATATTATTATATTATTATATTATTA